TGTCAATCATTTCCCTGGTGTATAAGGTGCGTGCACTGATAACATCATCAATGTTTCCAGTGACGCAACACTCCAGACTGTCAGTCTGAGCAGTCTTTGCAGGTACAGGTCCACCGCGAGCCGCAACCCGTGAGCTGGTGCTCCCCACAGTTCAGTCTCCCATTAGATTGGACCCTTAAGCATGGGGACGGTGCCAGGGGAAAAGTCCTGGATCAATTCTTCCAGGTTCATCTCCCTGCCCAACATCCAAACCAGTCATGTCCCTGTAAGGGGGGCATCGAAGTAATATATATATGGTGATTCTGGGTTGCTTTTCATTGGACATCCACCAAGCTGGGAGTTCACAAGGTCCAATGACTGTCGCTTCCACAGCCGTAGACAGCCACTCTCTACCATCCGAGTACCCCAGTCCTCAGACCAAGGGCACAGGCACCTTTCAGGTAACCGGGCTCAGTTCATCCTGCCGGGCCTCTGTTAAGTTCTTCTGGCAGTGTATACTTTTTTAGGACAGATTCACAACACAGGTACATATTTTCAGGTGCAAATCTCAAGAGTACCATATCTCTCTGTTCTCTCATCCTTTGCCTTTCCTCGGGATACTGCATACAAGTTTTATCATTGGGCAGTCTTCAGCTGGATAGTCTTTCAAGATTTGGAAACTTTTCTCAGAACTGTTATCCCTTGAATTTGACCATCACAGATGTTATTTTACTTGGGTCCTTGATCATTATCTATGGAAATAGCAGTCAAGAAATCAAACAAAATACTACAATGGGCAACTCTGCAAATGACATTTTGTTAAAGTCTTAAAAAGCAAAGAGGTCACGTGGAGGACTAAGGTGTGTGTGAGCCCAGGCGTGATGTTCTCTCTCTTCATGCGCATGCAGCAGCGGGCCATCGATGGGGAAGCCTGAAGAAGAAGCCATACCTCTGAATTAGGGTGCTGGCAAAGAAAAATGTGGACTATCCCATGGCCTACCAGAAAAAGAACAAGTCTGTCTTGGGAGAAGTACATTTGGAATGCTCCTTACATTGAGAATTTGCCTCACACACTTTGGACATCGGGGGGCACCAGCTCCCAGAGAAAGACATCATGCTTGATAAAGAATCACAGAAAGAGAAGACTGTCAAAAAATGAAGGGACACAGTGGCAGTGGCAGTGGACGCAGACACTCAATAGCAGGGAGGCTGATGCAGGACCAGGCAGTGCTTCATTGTGTTCTACTCAGTGTCGGTATGAGTGGATGCCCGCTCATCGGCACCTAGCAACTGCAGCAACAGTGTATTAAAATCTTCCTCTGCCTGTGTAGTCCCACGGTGACCTTTTCATAGCAAACATCTTTTTTACAGTTTTATTGGCAAATAATCCACTTATACATACAACCCACATATATCATACATCATACATCATTGGCACATAATCCACAAATCATGATGGAATAGTTCAATCATATGGAGAAGAATTGTACAATCATTACCCTTATCAATTTCAGAACTTTTTCCCCCATGATTAAATCACTTTTTAATTTATTTTTATTTTTATTTTTTGTGAGAGAGTGAGGCAGTGAGAGAGAGTGAGGGAGTGAGAGAGTGAGAGAGCTAGGCAGTGAGAGTGAGGGAGTGAGTGAGGCAGTGAGAGTGAGGGAGTGAGTGAGGCAGTGAGAGAGCTAGGCAGTAAGAGTGAGGGAGTCTAAATCACTTTTAAAATAAGTGTACTCTAACATTTTTCTTTCTTATTCAGTGCTCACACAAATAAGACTGGGTGTGAGTGTTTCATGTCTCTTCAAGGCACATATTATACTACTTAGTTTTTTTTATTTTGTTGTTGAGGCTATACACAGCAAAAACATGCCTAACTCAAATGTTTACATGTGCATCAGTGACACTGATTGCCTTATCATAATTATATCGCCCTCCTTTTCAGAGCCGTGCCTCCCTTCTTAACTCCAACTCACTGCCCTCTGTTGTTTCCTGCCCTGTCTCAGTCAAGTCTGCTGTTGTCCTGTAGAGATAGATCTCAAAAGAGTACAGTCGTTAGGGCAGCCATTCCTTACTGGTTAAGATAAACTGTTGTACCTATGTCTATAGTGTACAGAGTTGGAGCTGGCTTGATGATGTCACTTAACACCAGTATTGTTTGGTTTTAAGCTTGCAAGATTACCCGAGGGGGCAGTAGTTTCCAGAGTTCACCCATCTCCATGGCTCCAGGAAGACCGAAGTATATGATAATTTGAAATTCTGTTCAGAATTCCCCTCCTTCGATCAGCATTCTATAGAATCTTTGAGCAACATATTCAGTAATGGCAATGGGGAACCAGCCAGTTCTTCTGGTTTCATGGCAAAGGAGACAGCTGTTTGTGGAGACAATGAGACTCACATACCGTTTCCTCCTCCCAATTCCTGATTCTCCATCTTCCTCTGTTGCTCCAGGAGAATAGAGCCCACGTGTTGTCTTGGATTTCCCTGGGCAGCTTTTAAGACTCCAGGGTCTCTGTCCGCAGTGACCTAGGAGGTAGAACAGAAGCATGAAATAAATTGAATTAACTGGGATGCCCCATGAAACCATGGTTCTAAATCTTGAATGCAGGGAACCAAATCCTGTGACTTTTTGTTGTGGTTGTTGTTAGACAAAAGCAACCTCAACAGCTAATCTTTTGTTGTTCTTGTATACATCAAACAGCTTTAGCCAATTATACTTTGTACACGTGTGCAGTTTTTTGACAGCACTTAACACTAATCAGCTCTGCAACCATATCCCTACCGCGATTTTCCAACATTGTAAACTAGAACTCAGTACTCTCTAAGCAATAGTCCTGCCCTCCTCTTAACCTTGGCAACCACTAAAAGACTTGGGCTCCATATGGTTGTCTGTTCTTGCCTTTTTTATAATTCAAGTCACACAGTAGCTGTCCACTTGTGATTGACTTATTTCACTCGGCATAATAATCTTGAAGCTCCATCCCTGGTGCAGCATGCATGAAGATTTCATTTCTCTTGCTGGTTAAGTAGTGCACTATATGTACACAGCACATTTTGTTTATCTTTTAGTTCATCCACTGATGGTACTTTCTAGCATGTTAATGAAACATATTTACTAATACTGTTAAATACTTTTTCCAGTATTTTTGTGGCCTATGAATTGTGCTCTTTATGAAAGAACTTCCATATACATTGCATGTGCAAGAGTGAAAAATACTTATTTCACAATTCTGAACACATCTGGCTAAAAATAAAATGTTATTCTAGATTTAATTTGCATCAGGAACAGGACAATCAATGCCTTGTACCTGGTTTCTGTGTACTTTTATAAAATACTTAAATAATCATTGTGTTGGGAACGCTTACAAATCTTATAATAGTCCATCATTCAATAGTATTAAACACCTTTGTACATCTGGTGCCATCAACATTTCTGAAACAATATCTTTCTATTAGAGCCCTTGATACCAGCTCCTCGTTTTTCCCCTCCCTTCCCCACTCTTGTGAATCCTTGATCAATTATATATTATTATTGTTATTTTGTGTCTTACACTGTTCATTGTCTTCCTTCATCCACCTTTCTGTTAATTGTCCCCCTGGGGTGGGGGCTATATCTCCAGCCTTGTGATGGATTCAAATACTTTTTTTGCTATAACTCAAGTAAAAAAACTAGTTGCCAAGTTTAAATTTTAGACCAGCTTTTCTTTGCTTTATTTATTCCTTTCTAAGTGAGTTCAAGGAAATGTTACTATACTATATACCAGGAGGCCTTGTGACACTGTCAGATAGGTTTTGAACTGCAAGGTCAGCAGTTCAAACCCACCAGCTGCTCCATGGGAGAAAGCTGAAGCTGTCTGCTTCAATACCGATATACAGCCTCAGAAGCCCTGAGGGGATCGACTCGATGGGCAGTGGGTGGTATAATAAAACAGTTATAAAAGCACTTCTTCCAAAATGCAAATATAAACTGTGTTGTATCATCGGCAGTTTTAGATTAACTGCAGATTATCCTTTTTGAAAGGATGATCGAGAAACGGAAAAGTCATGCCATAACATATAAATGGAGATACTGATGTTGAATTCATCTGTGTTTTGTTTAGATGTCCCTGGTAGATTTGGGAAAGAAGCTTTTAGAAGCCGCACGAGCAGGTCAAGATGATGAAGTTCGTATTTTGATGGCAAATGGAGCTCCTTTTACTACAGACTGGGTAAAAAGTGAACTAATATTGTACTAGCTTGTTTTTCTTCTCATTTTAGAGTTTTTCCATGTCCGAAATGAAATGTCAGTGAGACAGTGGTTGGGCTGTGGCGATTGCATGGTCAGCAGTTCGAAACCACCAGCATCTCCTCAGGAGAAAGACTGGGCTCTCTGCTCTCATAAACAGTTACAGGCTCGGAAACCCACAGGGGGTCGCTATGAGTCAGCGCTGACTCAAGGGCAGTGAGTCTGTCTGTCTGTTGTTTATTGGGACGAAATGCCATTGGTTCTTTGGCACATCAGTGGCTTGGTAATCAGTTGTTGGGATTTTTAATGCTGCTAAATATGATGGGACTTCCACAGACTTTCTGAAGCCCTCTAGTACATGTAATGCAACGGAACTCTAATTTTTACATAGAAAAATTGTTGTCTCTGGTATGGTGCTCACATTGGGAGCTCTTATTCCAAATGGCTGAGAGCTTGGCTGCTAACAAGTGCTGGTGGTTGAGCTCACCAGAGTTGGGGGTTCAGCCCGAGACCACTCTGCGAGGCAGGGTTCCACTCTGACCACGTGGTGTCATCATGACCAGAGTTGGTTTTTCTTTCTCACGTGTTATTATTTCTCCCTTGTATGTGGTGCGTGTAGCATTATTTTAGTGGGCAAACCCCATGGAATCAATTTCAGGAGAACTGGGCTGTTTTTTATTTTTGTCCTTTCTCAGTTTTAGCAAATGTACCTAAGCTTTTGCCCTTGAAAAATTGCTTTATGAGTTCCTTTTGAAAAGATAAGTGTTTTAATTTTTTATGTGTTACACATAGTTTTGATCCACGGCGTATAAAAATGTGTGCTCTAACATTTATTTGATATGGATTTTATAAAGCTGGAAAGGCTAGTTTAGCAAGATGTGTGTGACCAGTTGAAGGAAATAATTTCCACATTCAGAAAAGTTTCTCAAAAAGCCCTAATGACCTTAAATGAATTTTTCTAAAATTAATTCTAGTTAGGTCTTTGAGAAAAAAAACTAATGAATAAAACAAGTTTTAAATGAAATAATCACTTTTCTTCTCCACTGGAAAGCATATCGGAATTCTTGAAAGCCTCTATAAAGCAGATGTGTCAAGTATAAATAAAGCTATTACAAGTTTTGAGTCCTATGTAAATGGTTAAACAATTTTTTTATATTATGTAAAACAATGCATAGTAGAAATATATTGAAAATGACGCCAGCTGTGGATTTTTATCTTCCTGTGGTCTAGCTGGGAACTTCTCCACTTCATCTGGCAGCACAATACGGACATTATTCCACCACGGAGGTGCTACTCCGGGCTGGTGTAAGTAGGGATGCCCGAACCAAAGTGGACCGGACGCCTTTACATATGGCCGCTTCAGAGGGCCATGCCAGCATAGTAGAGGTTTTACTTAAGGTACATGCTTTCTCTTTGTTCTTTGCTTATTTTAAATCATTTTAATAGGGTCTCATACAACTCTTTATCACAATCCATACTTACATCAATTGTGTAAAGCACATTTGTACATTCATTGCCCTCATCATTCTCAAAACATTTGCTCTCCACCTAAGCCCCTGGCATCAGCTCCTCATTTTCCCCCTCCCTCACAGCTCCTCACTCTCTCATAAACCCTTGATAATTTATAAATTATTATTTTGTCATATTTGCACTGTCCGACGTCTCCCTTCATCCACTTTTCTGTTGTCCGTTCCCCAGGGAGGAGGTCACATATAGATCCTTGTAATCGGTTCCCTCTTTCCAACCCACCCTCCCTCTCCCCTCCCAGTATCGTCACTCACACCACTGGCCCTGAAGGGATCGTCTGTCCCGGATTCCCTGTGTTTCCAGTTCCTATCTGTACTAGTGTACATCCTCTGGTCTAGCCAGACTTGCAAGGTAGAATTCGGATCATGATAGTGGGGGAGGAGTAAACATTTAGGAACTAGAGCAAAGTTGTATGTTTTATCATTGCTACATCGCACGTGAGACCCTTCTGTAAGGGGATGTCCAGTGGTCTACAAATGGGCTTTGGGTCTCCACTCCGCACTCCCCGCCTCATTCACTATGTTAAGATTTTTTTGTTCTGATGATGCCTGATACCTGATCCCTTCGACACCTCGTGATCACCTAGGCTGGTGTGCTTCTTCCATGTGAACGTTGTTGCTTCTGAGCTAGATGGCTGCTTGTTTACCTTCAAGCCTTTAAGATCCCAGACGCTATATCTTTTGATAGCCGGGCACCTTCAGCTTTCTGAGCTATCTCACTTTTCATTTTATGTATTCATAAGCCCATCAAATGAAAACTGAAAATTTTCCTTTGTGGAAAAAAATAGGCAAAAACTTCAGGGATAGTGTTGGCCAGTAATTGTTTTTTTTTTTAGCCCCTAAACTACTCTGTGGGAAGGACGTACAGCTCCTTCTTCTGTACGTTTGATAGTCTCAAACTCTGTTACAACGCTGGTGGAAGGCACGATAGGGCTGAGTGGTTAACATGAAAATGGGGATTGTCCTTTAGCTACCTAAGTGCCAAAGAATTATATGCATAATTCTGAAATGGAAAGGGATAGATTTAGACATAATTCTCCTTCTTTTGTATCCTGGACTCTAGACCAGGGCTATCCAAGCAAAATATAATCTACAAGTGCAAGTCACATATAATTCTAAATTTTCTAGTAGCTACATTTAAATAAGTAAAAAAGAAAAAATGTTTTAATGTGTTTTATATAACCCAACATATGCAAAGTATCATTCTAGCATAATTAATAGTAACATTATTGAGATTTTTGCCCATTGTTGTGATACTAAGACTTTGGAATCCAGTTTATATTTACAGATACATCATATCTCTTTTCCAACTATTGCATATTGAGTGCTTAGTAACCACACATGTCTAATAGCTACCATATTGTTTAGCATACCTGTAGATAAGCTCTTTTAAGTGCATGATATTGAAATTTTGAAAGCACAAGGTATGCTCTTATGTAAATGAGAAACTAGACAAGCATCTCCTAAACCAGCGTTGAGAAGGCTTTAGAGGAATGCTTTCATTTTCTTTCCCTTCTGATGCTTTTTTTAGCCTTTTGTGCCCATAGCTGGCACCTAACAAAAATAATCATAATAAATGACTGGCTTTTCATGCAGTTGCAACAAAGCACTTAGGAAGATCAACATAATCGGAAAATGGGTGGGATGATGCCTAGAATATTGAGGTTCTTTAACACACAAAGAAATAAAGAGTCGATTATGTTGGTAGCCAGTGATTGCTTAGGAAGTAGTATGTTTTGATCGAGAGTTCATTATTTCATAATTTAGCAATCTCTTGTTTTGGATTATTTTTGTAGCATGGTGCTGATGTCAATGCAAAAGACATGCTAAAGATGACGGCTCTCCACTGGGCCACAGAACACAATCATCCAGACGTGGTGGAACTTTTGATCAAATACGGTGCTGATGTACACACACAAAGTAAATTTTGTAAAACGGCATTTGATATTTCAATAGACAATGGGAATGAAGATTTAGCAGAGATATTACAGGTAACTTTTGACTTTTAATTTATGAAAAGCAATGAAAGGGAACTTTTATTTACAGATCTCTGTTTTGTGGATGATTTGAACTATGTAACTTTTGCTTTTGGACTTGATTATTTTGGATAGGACTTTTCCTCTTCTACTTCCTCTTTGCTCGTTACTGTTGGTGTTCCTGATTAAATGACCACAATCTTTATTTTAGCATCAAAAGATAAAGATTTTTAAGTTCCTGGATTCCTCTTCTAGATAGTTTTTTAAAAAATTATTAATTATTTTCTTGGATATTTAAATACCATATGAGTTTTTCGAAGTGTATTGCATTTCTATTAAAATGTCTTTCTTCAAAACAACCAAACATCTAATGCTTATTGAATGAATGATATTTTTCCACCATTATTTATTTTCACCATTATCAGAATTCTGTTTGCAGGCATAGTTATTTCTGGTTTTAAGTAGTTTCCCCCTCCCCTAGTACCCAGCACTACATCTTTTTACTTTTGTTAGATGACATCAGTGTCAACGATCTTTATTCACTGCTTCATCTTTTTGTCTATCTTCTTGTTTCCCTTGGCAGTAGACCTCTTCCTCTCAGGCCATTTGACTTCTTTGAATGGCAGCTGATGATGTAAAAGATGGTCTGGTTTAGGAAAATCATTTTTTCCATGCCTCTTATTATTTTTTTACTCCTAAGGGTGCTTGCTATTTGGGGTTAAAGTTATAGATGGGAGCTGTAATTGGGAAGGTTGTGCTTCATATATAGTGTTGTGTAATGCTGAATATGATAGAGAGGAAAATAGTTTGATCCTTGTATGCCTATAATCACAGGTTGGCAAAAAACTTTCAGTGTCCAATATGTCTCTGTTCTTTTTGTATCTGTTTTTTTAAATCGTTTTATTAGGGACTCATACAACTCTTATTACAATCCATACATACAACAATTGTGTAAAGCACATTTGTGCATTCATTGCCCTCATCATTCTCAAAGCATTTGCTCTCCACTTAACCCCCTGGCATCAGATCCTCATTTTTCCCCCTCCCTGTCCTGTATCTGTTCTTTATAGACTTTCTGATAACTGTTTTTCCTCTCATGGGATTTTACTACTTCACCTGATAGAGGAACTCAGGATGTTAGCTTGTAACTCTGATTAGCACTGTACTCTCAGTAGACTATAAACAGAGATTGCCCTTTTGTATTCTAGGTTCCGCTGAAATTGGAGCAGGTTTCTCTCTCTTTGTATTTGTACTATCTGAGACTCTACTGGTTATAATTCTGAAACCACTGTGGTGATTTGTCCTCTAGATTGCAATGCAGAACCAAATCAACACAAACCCAGAGAGCCCTGACACTGTGACGATTCATACTGCAACACCACAGTTTATCATTGGACCTGGAGGGGTGGTGAACCTAACAGGTCTGGTATCTTCAGAAAATTCATCCAAGGCAACAGGTATTGAGATGCATATGGGACAGCTGTTGGATAGTTGCTATACTTTTAGTAGGTATTCATCCCTCTAAGAAAGGACTGTTGGAGAACGAGGGTAAGATTATGTCAGCTACCTTGGTCTTCTTTAGTGTTGCCAGAAAAAAAAATTGGGGGTGGGTGGGTGGGCAGGGCAAAATAATCTAAAGAAAAACATTGCAAATGCTACCCAAGCTCATCTTTTGTAAAAAGAATACTATCCAAGCTTTATTTAACAGTTGAATAAACTAAGAGTAGCAGAAATAGGCATTTGATTAAATGCCTTCCAAATTCAAATCTGTTTTTCTTTTCTCACAGATGAAACGGGTGTCTCTGCTGTTCAGTTTGGAAACTCCTCTACATCAGTATTAGCTACATTAGCTGCCTTAGCTGAAGCATCTGCTCCGTTATCCAACTCTTCCGAAACTCCAGGTTAGAAAACCAAGTCAAATGTCTACATTGAAAATTTCAGACTCAAATGCTTCCAAAGGCCAGGCAGGTATTGTAAAAGATTAAAGTAGGCAGGGCAGAGATTGTGTTTGGTGACTAGTGTGGCCTCTGCAGGGAGACATTTGTTCTACCTGCAACCAGATTATAGTCATGGGCTCAGGCTTGTCATTAACCCCCTTTGCACAGGAAGCTGAAAGCCTGTATTCTAAAAGAATGTTAATCTTTCATGTTAAATATTGGCCATGAAATGAATTAAAAAACAAACTTGTGATTTTCATAGAAAACATATCTATCTGCCCAATTTGGCATTTGTCTTACCAGTTCTTTTCTATAAAATGTAATGTAAATGTAAAAAAAAAAAACACCCTAAAAACAGGTAAATGTATAGAAAGTTGCTGTCATTTTTACAACTTCTAATGAATTATTGGCAGTTATGATCACATAAAATTTTAAGGATTGGTAGAAGTAGGACATAGCTTATCCACGCCACCATTAAAGGGAGATTTATTGTTAAATTATGGCAAGCCATATTAATTAATAGCTGATATAGATAGGATTTTCTGTTATCCAGCCAAAATACTTACTTGACATTTTTTCCCTCTGAGTGTGGTAAAGTATATGAAACAAAGTTTGCCATTTTAACCATTTTTAAGTACACTATTCAGTGGCGTTAATTATATTCACGATCATATAATAATCACACTACTCTTTATTTTCAAACTAGTTTCCTCATCCCAACCAGAAACTTTGTACTCTGTAAGTCATAGTTCTCCATTTTTCTCAGCTTTCAACCTCTAGTAACCTCAAATGACTTTCCGTCTTTGAATTTACGTATTCTGATATTTTAAGTAAACGGAATCTTGCAGGATTTATCCTTCTGTGTTTGGTTTATTTTACTCAGTATGATGTTTTCACATTTCATCCATTTCGTAGAATATCTCAGAACTACATGTTACTTTATGGTTAAATCATACACCACTTTATGTTTATACTGTTGTTATCCATCCGTTGATTGTTTCCACCCTTGGCTATTGTAAATAGTGCTGCAGTGAACTGGGGTGTACAGGCAGCCTTTGAGCCCCGGTTTTCATTTCTTTTGGGAACGCTATGTTAGAACTTCTTCAGGAACCATCAAGCTTTTTTCTTCAATTGATGTACCACTTTACATTGCAGTGAGTAATTCCCAATGGTTCCAAGTTCTCCCCATCCTTGCCAGCACTTACTATTTTTCTTTCCTTTGATAATAGCTATCCTAATGAGTGCGAAGTGGTATCTCATTTTTGTTTTGATTTATGTATCAGAAATGACTAATGATGTTGAATGTCTGTTGCATGTGCTTATTGGCATTTGCATATTTTTTTGAGAAATACCTATTGAAGTTTTTTGCCCTATTTTTAATTGGGCTGCTTTTTTGTTGTGATATCATGAACGCTGGTAGGGTGGTGATTATACTGTTGGGCTGCTCACTGAGGTCAGCAGTTCAAAACCACTAGCTGCTGTATGGGAGAAAGAGGGGGCTTTCTATTCTGTGAAGAGTTACAGTCTGGGAAACCCAGAGGAGCGCTTCTGCTCTGCCCTACAGGGCTGCCCTGAGTTAGAATGCACTCCAGGGCAGTGCGGTTTTTTTGTTGTTATGTGATAGGAGTTTTTTATAAATTATAATTACTAAGCCCTTATCAGATAAATAGTTTTAATATATTTCCCCCTCTGTATGTTGTCTCTTTGCTTTCTTGATAATATCCTGATGCATAAAAGTTTTTTTAATATTGATAAAGTCCAGCTAGTCCCTTTTTTCTTGTTGCTTGTTCTTTAGGTATCATTTGTAAGAATCCATTGCCAAATCTAAGGCCATGAAGATTTACCATTTTGTTTTTTCTATGGATTTTATGGTTTTAACTCTTATAGTTAGGCCATTGGTTCAGTTTGAGTTCATATTTTGTATGTGGCATGAGGTAAGTATCCAACTTCATTCTTTCATGTGTTAAAAATCTACTTTTCTAACACCCTTCGTTGAAGTGTCAGTTCTTTCCCCAGTGAATGAACTTGCCACCCTTGATGAAACTTAGTACAGTACTTCTCTGTTTATTGTTAGTGTTCAGGATGTGCAGGGGTCCTTGTAATTCCACATGAATTTGAGGATTGACATTTCCATTTGTGCAAAAAAAGTGCTATTGGGATTTTGACAGGGAATTTAATGAACTTTAGATTGCTTAGGATAATATTGGCATTTTAACAATCATAAGCCTTTCAGTTCCTGAGCATGGAACGTGCTTCCACCTATTTAGGTTCTCTTTAATCTCTTCAAGAAACCCTAGTGGTGTAGTTAACCGATAGGTTGGTGACTCAGCCATTCGATGGGAACAAATTGGCAGTTTACTTCTGTAGAGTACAGCCTTAGAAACCCCACGGGTCAGTTATACTCTGTCCAGAGGTTTATGAGCAAGAATCAGTTAGATGGGAGTGTGCTAGGGCTTTAAAAAGTTTTTAATTTTAAATCAGGAATGTACACGGAGTGGCTAAAAAGATCAAGACATAGGGTGTAAAAGCATTTCAGTGTAACAATGCATATAACTGCTAATGACCCAAAGTGATTTTACTGGTAGCCAAAAGTGGTTTTGGCCATTAGCAGCTATATTTTACTGGTGGCTCTTATTTGGTTAAACTTGTAAAAAATGTTTTGTCTTTAACTGAATTATATATGCTTGATAATGATCAGCTTTTCTTGAAAGCCAGTTTTGACATTTAGATATTTGGCTCCAAGAATTGATCACACCAACTTCTCCTTTTAAAATGTTGTAATGTGACTGGAGGGAATTAGTAATCTCTCTTGAATTTTATTGCATGAAGGAGCCTTATTGGTGCTATCAAATAAGGCCTAGACTGTTACGCACAAGACTGGTGATTCAGAGCAGAGCCGTCAGCCACACATGAGAGAAGATGAAGTTATCTGTTCTCGTAGATGCTTAGAGATTTGGAAACACTCCATAGGGTCATTGTGAGTCAGTATGAACTCAATGGCATTGAGTTTGGCACGTCCATGAACACGATAATTTTCCATCTCATTGCTATGTCATTATAGAATCTCATGAAAGATAGTAAAGCGTTTGATTAAGTTAAAGTCCAGGTGAGTGTGTGTCCACTCATAGTCTGGATTACTGTGCCTTTTCACTGAAAACCATGAACTTAAACAGGGCCTTCATGATTACCTTAGGACATAGATATAAATCAAATTTTAATGTTACTCCAATGGAAACTATTTTAGGTATAAAAGAGACTCCAAATTCCAAATATAATATGAGGAGAACATTAAGTCTTAAACAGGAAAAGACCAAAGAGCCATCATTTGGATGAGGGAGACCATTAGCAAGAGGTCACAATGGTGTCCAAGACCCAGAGACTCAAGAAGGACATGGGAGGGCAAAGGAAACTCTGACTGATTACAATTGCTGTGGAAAGCGATATGATTCTACTGCAAGCACCTGGGAATAGAAATACCATGTGATCCAGGAGTACCTCTACTGGGTGTCTGTCCTAAAGAGGTAAAGAGTCATAGCACAAACAGACAGAAGCAGACCCATGTGCATTGTGGCACTGTTGACAACAACAAGAAAATGGAAACAAATACCCATCAGTAGAAGATAGATAAGGGAAATTTGGTACATCCACACAGCAGAATGCTAAGCATCGCTAACAAACAACGATGAAACCACGAAGCGCACTGTGTTAGGGTTCTCTAGAGAGATAAAACCAAATTGCTGATAATTTAATATATTTATTTATAAAGATAATTAGATATATAACAAGAAACGAACTGTTAAATCATATACAGATAAATATATAATACAAGAAATAAACAGTTAAATTATAAAACACTACAAATGGCTCAGTGCAACTCACGTCCGTGAGAGAAAGTTAGACTAGCAGTCCTTCAAGTCTAGTCTGCTGCCATATCTTCCTCTATTTGTAGAGAGAGCTAAGCTATGTCAGCACAGCAGCCAATCACAAGGCAGGTCACCAACCGCCAGTTCCCAGCTCCAGAGATGTCTTATAGGGACCTCAACTTACAGCGACACAGTCCATAGGCTAGGCATCCCACAGGTAGTGTAGCCTTTAAATTGAGGCACAGAACAAGCAAGGCAGCCGCACACTGGTCCAATGATCACAGAGTGAGAGACAAGAAAGGCAAGGCTCACCAAGCCATTTATCTCTCTGCCCTTCAGTTAATCCCACTTGTGTTTATCAGCCAGGCTGGCACAATAACCTATCTCACGCACCCTTTGGCATGGATTGACCTGGAGAACGTTATCTGAGTCAAATTAGTCAATCATAAAAGGACAAATATTGTATGAGATTACTGTTGCAAAAAATAAAATCCAAGACAAAGAATTTCATTCCCAAAGGAACAGCCCTAGGAGAGGTTAGCAAGTAAGGGGTGTAAGAGAGGGAGGATGAAGCAGTAGGCTAAAGGGTTGATAGGCATTATTTTGGGTAAAGGGGAAATACAATAATCCACAAGAAGGAGAAGGGAAACAGGAGGGGTCAGGGGAAGGTATTGGTAAGGTAGGGTAAGAGGGTCCTGATAAAGTAGTTTAAATACAAAACTGATGATCTGGAGAATGAAACCCCAACCCAATTAATGATAAAACATGTTTTTAAAAATAGATGTGATTGGCAACGTAGTAATATATCACAGTTACCAGTAGGACGACAGAGCGAGAATGGGGCCTGATGGAGACATGCACATTGTGTTCGGCAGAGGAGCTCTGCTCTAGGGGAACATCTTGCTGCTGGGTAGCGGTCAGAAGCAAGCCAGTAGAGGCTGAATTCATGTGGAGACCTACAAGTGGATTTAGGCCTTCTGCAAACTGTAGCCTTTTGCAAATTCACTGCTCAGAATTTCAAGTTTTAATATAGAACCTGATCAAGAAAATGAAAACTCACTGCTGTCAATTCCGACTTCATAGTGACCCTACAGAACCTGG